CACAGGTTACATAGACCCATGACTTACACGAGTGGTTTTTAAGGTGTACTGCACCTAGACGTAGCGCGTAGAGTGGCGCATGTTACCCCAACGCCATGGAGATACTTCCTATAAAAGCAGGTGAGCCGCTCAAGTCGTAGACGTAAGAGCGTAATGTATAGTGCACGAGCAGAATCAGAAGACTTCGATCAAACGACATGACTTTTACCTAATTCTTTGTCTGATAATGGGATGAACAAACCTTGATCACAACAAAAGCACCTCCATTTGGAACCCCACCTAGAAATCCCAAAATTAGAATCATCAGGCTAATTCATGAAGCAAACTTACCAGCAAATGAGAGGAGGAAGATGAGAGATGGAAAAGGGACGCTGCTCATTTTACACCAAATGAAAGATCCATGACGTATCCCTAAGCACATGTAGATAAAAATGTCCCTTGGAATGAGGTTAGTAGGGGGGTTTTTCCCGCCTCACCGTCAACGCGCGTACGCATGCTCGAAGTGGTCGGCCAATCGTCGGATGCCACGTCGCTGGCCACCTCGGAGCCGTCCCTCATCTCCGACTTGTATCGAAGATTTTCTCTTCCTTCTCCTTTTCCTCCTCCTTCCCTTTTTTTATTTCTTTTTTTTTCATCTCCAACCCCCCTTCCCCCTCCTCCTCTCACTCGCATGCCAATCAATCCAGTCGCGATCTGTCGTAGGCTTGTCCGTGGGAGACTTGCTTGAATCCCAGATAAGATCGCCGTTGAATGAATTATAACCCCATTCCATCGAAAACTACTCACATATTCATCCACGTTTGCGACTCAGACTTTGTTTTTGTTGCCCCAAGGAAAAGGAGAAAGGGCAATCAAAGAAAGTCGATCCTATTTGATAGGCCGCATATCTGAGTGAGCCATTAGGAGTGAGAAATTACTGGAAGGGAAGAGGATTCAGGCTGTATCGAATTAGGCGACGGAGTTCCCCCCCTCAGATAATCTAATCCTTTTACTTCCTCCCGCGACCCCAACCATACACATTTCTCCCTGCCTTTTTATTGCGCTTTGATGATTCATGGCCTCTCAATTTCAAGCCTGTGTAATGGGATTAATCCCATTACACGAGGACATGTTGAGTCATCTCACATGATAGGCCTAATGGACTTCAGCCATTACTCCTGATGTGCTTCTAGCATAGCTTCCTTTCGGAAAGAAAACGTGCTTCTTTTTGTCGTTCCGCTTGAGAAATAATTGGACTAATTTGCTGAACGGGGTTTCTATCTTGAACTTGGATGGGGAGCGTGGACGAGAGAAAGTATGGGGGAATCGATTATAGGTAGCCTACACGAGTGTGACCCGCTCGACCAGAAAGAGAGGCGGGTGTGTCGAGGACGCAGGTGGGAGTCATGTTATACTCTTCTCTCACCCTTTCCGTGCCCCTATGCATTATAAAAACGAGAGATTGCGGGGACATTCCTTTCTCCTCTCTCTTTCGGATGTTGGATGTGCCAATTCTCTTTCCTTCTCTCACCTGCTGGGATTCCCACGAACAAAAGAGTCTATTGACCAGGCCAGAAGAGCTAAGGAGAGGAGACGAGCGAGAAGAAGAAAAAGAAAGAAGACGAGGGAAAGCCCGTGCTCTGTTATTGATGACCCTTGCCTTCAACAAAAGCACCTCCATTTGGAACTCTACCAAGAAATCCCGTAATGTTATTCATGGTGGATGGGAAAGGAGAGAGGACCAGTGATCAATGAAATATTCACCTGAAACCTTTCCTTCATCCAGATATGAGCTGATAGCTCATACGGAAGCCTTTTCCCCCTTCTTCCGGCCTTTTCTTTATCTTCCTTCTCTCTCCAGGTCGCCTTAAAAGCCTGCTAAATATTTGAAGAGGCTCACAGTGATAGAGACCATTCGGGTGTGAAGCCAGTAAAAGTTGCATGAGCCTTTTACCTCTCGACAGAGGTAGAAGAGCTGTTGCTGTTGATGGGGCTTTTCTCATGTTTCCTTCCCCTGGAAATAATTTATGCAATAAAACTGACGAATCACTCTATATAAGACTATTGAGATCGCATCGCGGGGATGCAAGATTAAAGAAAACCTTTTGTATTGCGACGAGACATCGAAATAACAGACCTTTTACTTACAGGAAGAGACAGGAGGACAGGATTTTCTGAATCTGAAAGGTCTTAATGGAGAAGGTGGAATTGATGACCACAGCTGGACAGGAGGCATATCGAGAATAACGGAGAAAGACCATGGAGAGGGAGAAAAAGAAACAAGACATGAAATCCGTTGACAAATGGCTCAGGAAAGAATTTCATGCTCGAGAGGATGACGGCTGCGTTTCATTCCCTTGGGATATGTCATCCCCTCCGCGTGACTCGAATCCTTCCTTTCGCTCATCGGTCACTAACACGTCCCAGCGTGTCCCGGAATCCTCTCTTAGGATCGACTCAGGAGAAGAAAATGCCTAGATTCGTTGTCAGGGGGGATCAAGAGACTCATAAAAAGGAAAACTATGCGGAGACATAAATAAGCACTAAGTGACAAGACGAGGGCAGCGAGGTGGAAGGATTCTGATCCTCTTGGAAGTCTAATTGTATCCCTGGAAATATAGGAGGAGCAGAGATCTGGGGTCTTGGATGCATGTACGTATTTGGAAAGGGGGATTCGCCCCATTTACCGCCACATTGCAGAGGGCCCTGTCTCTCCTGAAATCTTCCCCCGGCCATTCTCCTCTATCTACTCTCCCTGATATGCTCTTACTGCTACTTCAGCTCGTATAGGGAAGTATTCCTTGAATAAGATGAAGATATGCAAGCATAGTTAATTCGCCTTCAATGATACTTAATTGCTCAAGGCACAGTCTTAACAATCTTGTAATTTCGATACGAGTAAGAATTTCCTGAAGGATGAAAGAGGAATCTTGCATATAAAGCTCGGCTGAAGCCAACGAAGGAAATGAGATGAATCACGGAGGGAATCCAAGCCAAGCCAAGAGTTGAAGCTGTCATTGAAGAGAGAGCGAGTCTTTTGAAAAGGAAGAATCCATCCATGAAGACATTCACATGTAGAAGGAAGGGCCAAGGGATGTGACTAGGTTTAGCACTGGCTCCGGCCGGATGAATCAAATGGCAAAGGAGAGGGATTGAAAACCGGAAACAAGAGAGAAGAGGGAGGAATTAATCCGTCTTTTCGTCCCCCCGCCCTCTGGCGCTTTCTCATCTACATAATAGTCACCCATCAGTCTTCCCCCTCTTCGTTTATATTTGCCTTCTTTCAACCTAGAGCCTCATGTTGTGCTTAGAGCTTTCTTCTCATCGAATTCCATTTCTGAGCTTATTTGAATTTTCAAAAGGGAGTGAGGGAGTTGACGACGATTCTTTGAATACATTTAATACAAAGAGGCTGCCTGAGCGAGGTAAATGAACGATTTCGGCATTATTGTGGATTTTGGAACTTTAAGGGCGTAATCTCAATTCAAACGGAAATAAGAAGTTATCACGAACTCGACAATCATCGTGGTTCCGCTACAGAGTGAATACCCATGTACGAACAGCACTTGCCCTTATTTCCGTTGCTGATAACTTGTGAAGACGTGCACATGCTGTGCACATACACTCCTGTAGTCTGGGTACCTACTTTTTCACCCTGTATAATGGAACGGGAGAGAGGAACGATTCCCTTCCGCGGAGGACATAAAGACGGTCGGAAGGAAAGCAACCGTGATTTATTCGACAAGTGCGGTGAGCCGAAGCCCATTACGAGGGTCAGTTAAAAAGAAGCGATGAATGGTGTGAGAATGGGGGAATGAGAGAGATGCTGAGAAATACTTGGATGATGAAGAGGAAGGTCCAGTCGAGAGAGAGGACGTCATATATCATGGCTGACAAAGTGTGGAGGGACGTCTTGATTAATTACCATCCCCGGGTCGATACCTGGCAAATCCTCCGTCCCTAGTTCCCTTTCCCTTCTTTCCAGTCGAGTACAGCATAATGAATGGAACAGGAGGATTACACCGCGATTTTCTTCTCCCCTCCTTCTAGGCATGGGCCTAGAACAGAGAGATTATCCCCACTCTCCTCGGAATTCTTCGGATGCTTGGGGAAAGCTTAAAAATGCCAGTAATGCATAAGGCTGGGCTAAAACTGGGTATAATATATGGCTAGGCTGCTTGGAAAACATCCACTTTTATGTAGACGATGGGCGTCTATGTCTTTCAGAGAGTTTTTTTGTCGTCTCGAAATGCTGGTCGTTAGCCGAGTGTTTCATATGCTAATACAGAACAATGGGACCTCATCAAGGAATGGTCTTTGCCGCGGAGAAAGGGCAAAAAGGAGGGAGGAGGGATGGTGGAGAGAAAAAAAAAGGCTAAGCGAGGGGATTGCTTGGTTTTTTTCCGAACTGCTTTTACAAAACGGACATTTAAGGCAAAACAATTTTAATCCTCACCCATTCAATCGCAGACCTTTACAGTATAATCCCGTAGTCTTCACCTTCGATTTATTATAACCCTGATAGAAGCAAGAAATCGCTCAATATCATGTGAAACTCATCATTCTTTGAATGAAAACTTCAAATATTCCTTGAGGATTCGACGACAGAATTGAACGACCTCGTATTCACGACAGAATCCTGTCTGTGGTTTGGGCATCCCGCCTGGTTGAGATGAAAACGAGCGAGAAATGGGGAGACTCGAGCGGAACTAACATTCCTTTTCGGACTCATGCTCGGCTAAGTTCCACGGAAAGAGAAGGAGAGAGGTCGTGACAGGAAAGGGGAAATTTTCTTTCCCCGGCTCGTTATCTATCTCGAGCTGGCTAATGAACATGAACCCTCCAGGCTTGGACCTAATTCCCTCGTTTTACATCCAGCCTTTGCTTAATTGAGATCACCTTCCACCAGCATCCATCCCAGCGAAAAATTCATCCCATCACCGATAAATAAATATTTTATTTGTTAAATTCTGCAATCGTGAATAATTATCATCTCAGCAGATACTGCCTGAAAATTTCAACTAAATCCTGACCCTATGCGCGAATTTCACTCTGGATGTGAAATTTTGAGGAGCCAGAACACAGAGGACTTGGTAGGTGATGATAGCCGTCAAACCCCATATACGATGTTTTCCTCCGAGGAAAACAGGGAGGGAATACCCGGCTTGCTTGTATTGCGTGTATCGGAAGTTTTGCGGCTCGCAGAGGGCCCACAGGGGTACAGGAAAGGCTTCTTCCACTTCTCCAATCTGAAGTTTGAGGGATGGGACATCGATGGACCCGATGTACCCGATACAGGGTGCGACAGAACTATCCTGTTTCCGAGTAGGAACGCTAGGCATCATTCCCCATACATCCACCTTATTTTGATGGATTCCTAATTCCTCTTCCGTCTCCCTGAGAGCCGTAGTCACAAGATTATCATCATTTGAATCCCTTCCTCCTCCGGGAAAACTGACTTCCCCTCGATGGAGTCGTAGGTCGGAGGACCTGAGGGTGTACAAAAGTGAGACCTCGTCCGAGACCGTGCATAATGGCACAAGGACAGCTGCACTCGGTTCCTTTTCCGATGTTCTTGCTCTCAGAGGAGGGATTCGTTTCAGGGCTTCCAATGCACGTTCTCTGTTTCTTGATGAAAGCACGAATTTGAAGGACTTCTCACTGGCTGTGACGTATGTCCTCCCACGTTCAGTCATCCACTTGACCGATGGGACCATTGCTGCTGATAGTGCACCTCGGCATTCTATAAAACCTTTCATATCCACGTGGATAGTGCTTTGGATTTCATTCCATCTGAAACACGCAAACCAAAGATTATTCACGAGTAACCTGAAAGTGATCGTGTGCTCAATAAAACAGCGACATAAGTCCTCTATCCTCGGTCATGCGTTAACCCTCCAGTCCTGGCGGAACCCAGGAGTCTCACTATTTTTTTCGTATATCTTGCAGAGCTATATGAGAATGCACGATCTTGAGGCCTTGTGGGACCTCCTATTCCCTGTGACCTCTTTTTGGAATTTGTATTTTTGTAGTGAATGACGTTTCATTTTGGACGGTTGAATTCGAAAATTTGTTTTAACAATTTTATATATTTAAATTTCAGGCTGAAAGGGTTAAATAACGTGCTATAGAGACTAAACGAAGACTGACTACCTCCTGAGAGAATGGAGTTGACAGAAAGAATAGAGGCTAATATCGAGGCATGTTCATATGGATACAGGGTGTCACAGAAGTTGTGAATGAATCTAAATTGCAATTTCTCGGCGACCATTGCATACAATGAAACGATCTATACAACATATTAAGAAGAATTTCTGAGGAATTCATTTGACATATGAATGAACATGATGGGTTTCAATAAGATCAATCGGAGAGGGTTTTCTGAACAACTCTTTTTCCGCACAAATTTCGGTGTAAATCATGTGTTTATTGAGAACAACACAAACAAGAGCAACACAACGCAAACGATTATCACCCATATGATATTCAATGTGGGAAAAAACCGCTTTAGAAAGCACACAAAAAAATTCACAGATGCAATGTGACAAGGATGCGCCGACGGAAATTCCAAAATGAGTGTTCAGAAAAATCGTCACCACTCCTGCCATACTGTTTCGTGTGCAGTGAACAATATATTTTAAATATATATACCTAAAATTCTGTTTTCAATGCTGTATAGATAGGTTCGCTCCATGCGATAGGCGCAGAGAAAATGCAATTTAAATTCATTCACAACTTCTGAGACACCTTGAATTGAGCAATGAGTCATAATCATTGAGTTCTTCAATTATATTACTTTTGCCGAATTCGATAGCTATAATTGGTGAGTCCCTCCAGTTTCACCAACATCTGGATAAGTTTACGTATGTAAACATGTACTTTATACAGCAAACTAAGTGTAACGAAGTTTTCAAATACTTTAGAAGGGGATTGGTTAACAAAATAAAGCATAGATTCTCCCCTTTTTTGAAAACAGAAGTAAGACCAACTTCAGAATAGTATTCGCAAGTTCGGCTTCCATTCATTAAAGCAGAAGAAAATTTAGTCATTATTGGAGTCACTTGCATGTAGTATAGAAACTTTCCCGCCGTCCCATCCATACATGATCCAAGGCTCCTGAAACCATCCATGAAATCAATTGAACGTTCCGCGAATCCGTATCAATAAAAAAAACTGGAGATTGATTAATGAATAACGTAATATTTTTGAGAATGGAATGAGTTACATTATTAGTAGACATTGTAGAGGCAGAGACGGAAATGAGAAGGGCAGAAAATCATTTAGGTACACAACTCATGCTTGCGGCAAGTACACAAAACCATAGCATCCTCATTTGGTTATAAGCATTCCGCCTTTCCTGAGAGGCTGGTTACTGTGGCAAGACGAAATATGCAATAGTGAACTGAACCGAAAGGGTGGACCAGGTCGGTTCCGTTCACTGAGCAGGTGGTCCTGTACAAAATCCACCTGCTTCTTCCAATATAACTGCTCCGTGAATAAGGACTTCGCGCTCTCATGAAATGATTTTTGATGAGTCCTTTAAGATTTGCGAAAAAAAAATTTAAGTTCCTCAGAAAGAATTCAGAGGGAAACTCTCTTACTTGAGAACAACTGGCTCTCATCTAGTTTAAGCACAAATCAGGATCTTCAAACGCCAATGCCGTGATTGTTTTCGGTTCACCTAGCAAGCCATTTCCGTGACGAAGAGAAACGAGCAACCAGGAACGTGTCCCACGTCCCATTCCACGAAATAAGACCATAAAAAGTGGGCTGGGAGAGAGACGGATGGAGAAGTTTTGTATTTCATTCCTCCCTTGAAACAGATTTGAGTAGCTTTATTTTACTCTTTTCTTTATTATACACTCATCGTAAAAAAAAGCAACACCAAGGTGTTGGATACTCTGAATTAAATTTGGTACAGGGGATCGTAGCATTGAAATCGGGGCGTTACAAGAGTGTAGAATGAATTTTCATAAAAAATTTGCATACCATTTTAATTTTTAGGAAAGGGGAGCTCTACTAATCTCCTTGAACAATACCCAGAAGGAATATATCAATTAAATGTGGAACAAGAACTCTTAATGATGTGTTGGATAGTTGAGCAAAGTTTCAAGGTCGTAGGATGATGTGGAGGAGAGAAAACTTTGTCGATCTCCCAGGGAAAGAAGTCAACGTCGAGTCATTTTTTCCCCCCAAAACCACTTTGCTATCGCGCTATTTTTGAGAGATTGATGTATCAGCCTGATGCACACATCAAGTTGGTGCGACATGTTGAAGCATGTTTAGCATCCCATTCAACCTGGGTCGATCAAACACGCTCGAGGAAATATGTGAAATTGCCTTTGGATACTTCAGCACGGCATGGCTTCGCAGTTGAACAATAAATTGGCACATTGGCACAATAGCGAAGATGCTTGAAGGTAGAAAGGGAAACAGGTCGCCGCCCTCTACCCACATGCTTCGGGAAATTGGCAAGATTTCTCTGCATCGCCTCGTCCTACAACCTTGAAGCTTCTGAAGTTTTCCGTGAATCCTATGCTCTTGGAACTAAACGATTGCATGATACTGTGACGGATGAGGATGGCATCGAGAGAGTCGACTGAATGTCCAGGGTTCGGTGGTGTAATGGTAGCACACCTGATCGGCAATCAGGAGGCCCGGGTTCAATTCTCGGCCGTTCCTTGGCTTCTTTCGACCTCTCCCACTTTCCGTCTCCCACTTTCCCTCCGTAACAATGCACTGCGACGAATTTGTGAAATGAATTTAATCAAGATCATTCAACCTCTTTCATGCTTTTTTTTGTCGATGAGAGTACGTCTTTCTTTTTGCAATTTCTGCACCAGTGACATTGAGAGAAATCACTCACTTAGCTCACTAAGAAGGGGAGCGTGGGTTGAGTAGATGACGGCGGAGATCCATTCTCCCCTCAAAAATTTTTATTTTTTAGATTCCTCTTCTTCAGTTAGTGTTCTGAGAGGAAAAGAAACATGTCAAGAGGAGAGAGGGTGAGAGGGAAAGAGGAAAAAAAAGCGGCAGAGAAAAAAAGCGCCATTATCGCCAGGTGGGCTTAATGAAATTTTACGCCGGTTCTCGCTATTGTTACAAGTTAATTGTTTCGTTTCTGTTTCGCATATCATCTGGCATAAGAGAGCTTCGAGGGGCCAAGCAGACAATTGTCAGCCTCCTGGGAAGACTTTATACGGCCATGAGAGGAATGGTTGGGAATGGAATTCCTCGATAACAGTAAGGGGGATAGCGGCGAAATCACGAGTCATCATAAAAATAAACGATTAAATTCCGAATATTAAGGAAATTAAATTCAGAAATCGGTTTAGCTATGTAAGAACTAGGCCTAATCCTAAAATAGGACTAGAACGTAATCTGATCCTCAAGTTTTCCGTGTTCCATTATTCTGTCATAATACTCGAAGCAAATCCACTTTTGGTATGAATAGATGACAAATGGGAAATATCTGAAATGGGAAAACCAGAAAGAGACGTCCGAATCACTTAAAAAACGATGAATGAAGAGAAACAGCTGAAGCCGCAAGGTCTGATGAAGAGCGCCATTGCACTCTCCGTCACTGCTCTCTAGTGAAGAAGAATGGAACAGGTGCTTCTCTCTACATACGCTAGATGACACATGTATCCCAGTTTAGCACAGAATTTTGACCACTCTCTGGTTTAAAATGTCCAGTGTCCCCGTTATTGGATGGCCAGACTTGCCAGTTTCTCTGAGTCAGTCCCTGTTTTCAGGTGAGTGTGTGTGTCTCGCTTCCAGGTATCCAGAAGAGGAAGTTTCCCGGTTGACTGATGTTGTGGCAGTGGTGCATTTGTAAATTCGGATTTGAGTGTGCTGTGCAGTCAAAATTAGCTGATTTATCCACTCTCTTCGGAAATTTAATTTAAGTATATGATGTATTCTCCCCGTATAACCTCCAAACACTTGACTATTTGGAGGTAATTAAAATACAGGAAGAAAATGGAAAACTTGAAGTAAAATAGTATTTAACTCTAATGAAACTTTGCAAACAGTACCATATAACAGATATGTTCAAAACTGCCTCGTACAGGCCCATGGACTTGTTCATGTCACTAGAAGCTGATAAGATCATTCCTAATGATGTGTTGAAAGGAGACATCGGTGAGGCTTGACTGCCCCTGTCTCAAATTTGTGCCACCCACCTGCCCTTAAGCTATGGAACTTAAGGGCAGATGGACACCACACACAGGAAAGTTTTGAAGGGGAGGAGTGTTGAGTGTATGTGTATGTCAGAACTCGATTCACTGTTCTTCCTAATGGGTCATGTTCTGACATGTGCGAAGCAAGGCTGATAGATTTTAATCGAACATGATAGCAAAGGAGCAATATGCCTCCACGCTTCCTAGTATCCTACGTCCTTGATAAACTCATGCAGAGACTTTTGAAAGTTGCTCATGGAGTCAGCATGAGTCAGCATGCACTGCTAGCATGAGTTTAGGGCATTGCTGTATTTTGACATGAGTCAAAGGGGACAGATTGGCAGAAAGGGGGCTGCCAAAACGAAGGGGTGGGTGTGTGCTGAGCGAAGGTTCTCAGGGGCGGAAAAAATTCCCTCAGAGGGGCCGCATTATTAAATTATAAAGTTAATGTCAGACTGATGATTTATTGTCCCCCGAAGCCCTGTTTCGTAGCTCTAAGAATGTCATGGAAATAT